GGCATTCCTGGTGTTCACGTGCACACAGAGAGATGCTGAGCCTCCCCCAAAAGTGAAAAACAGAACCATAAGAGATGTCATTTTCCACCTCTCAGGCAGGCCAAGACGAAAGTCTGATAACCGACGTCCTGGCAAGGATGTGGGAAGACAGGCCCTCCTGCCAGCAGCGCTGCTGTGTCCACGGTCCATCCTCTATGGACCACAATCTGGCAACTGTTCCAAACTAAAATACACATCCTCTTATTTCTAGGAATCCACCCTGTAGACACACAGTCATGGCAAAGGTGAATCCAGGAGAGTCACCACCACACTGCTGACATGTCAGAATCCCAGAATAACCCCATGTCCCCCCAGTGGGGGACTGGTGAGGTCATCTGTGGAATATACGGCCACGGAACACCACACAGCTGCAAATAACACCACAGTCACAGACGTAGCAACGCCAGCACACACAGTGCTTGCTAGGACCAGTTTCAACCAAACAACTCCACTCTCTGTTTTACAGAGAAAACCATGGACGCACAGACGGATTAAGACACTTGTTCCAGGACACACAGCTCGTTTAAGTGGCAGCGCCAGGACTGGAACTAGGTCACCTAGCTTCAGAGTCTGGACTCTGAACCTTGCGAAAAGAATGGGGGATAATTTTCTTGGGAGGAGAGGGGCGTCACTTCTCACATATGGACGGAGTTAATGTGGAGTGACACAGACCTTCTCAAAGACACACACTTAAGTGAAAAATGCCACGGTAGAACTGTGGATGGTGTGGCAACAAAGAGGTACGTGAGGATGTGTCACTGTCCCTAGAGAGACCCTCTGGGGGAGGTGGGGCTCACTGGGCCAGGGATGGCAGAGTCACCTTTTACCACGTCCCTTTTGTACTTTCTCCATTTTTTTTTTTAAGCCAAATCATTAACTGTTTTTAAAAGCCATGATTTCCTGGGTCCCATGTGTGTCTCAGACAAGTGTCTAAGGACTTGGGGAGCCACCCCACACTCCAGAGGCTGAGAGCACAGGGCCCCAGCAGTGGGGGGCCTGCAAGGGAGAGGCTGGCTGGCCTCTAAGCAATTCCTCTGCACAAGGGAAGCCACAGCACTGCCAGCCCCGGAGGAAGTGGCACTGCCCACAACCAGGTGTGTGGCCCAGCCAGGATGGGAAGGAGGGCGTGCAGAGGCGGGGGCAGGGGGCAGGGGGCAGGGGGCAGGGAAGGGTGGGAGAGCAGGAGGGGGAAGGGGGCCACCCTCTTGGCCCCAGAACACAGCTTCCAGGCACTTCCTGTCGCTGTCACATTGGACCTGGGCCCTCCCCAAGTCACCTCATGTCATGCCACAGCCCCCAAGGCCGCAGCCCCGCTCTGAAGCGGGGAGGGAGAGGACAGGGAAGGAGGGAGGAGGCCACCAAAACACAGACAGCCAGGCTGGGAACTTCCCCTCAGCCAGGGGCTGGTCCCGTGGCCTCAGTAAACAGGTTTCAAAACCATTAGTCAGCACTTTGGCCCTCAGATCTGCTGCCTCAGGTTCCTGGTCCCCAAACTGGGTCTCCAGGGTCCCAGACCTGGGCTGAGGCCGGGCCCCCCCACCCCCACCGCCAGGCCTGGGGGCCCGGGGTCACTGGGGAAAACAGGCCGCGGTCTTCTGGGCCAGCTAGGCCTGAGATGGCCTCATCAGCCGGGCACCCGCCTCCCTCCTGCCCGGGTGGCTGGCCCCAACTGCCAGCAAGAAGGAATCTCCCTTAGCCCCGCCCCTCCCCCAGTCTGACACGGGGAGACAGTGGCCAATGCCAGGCCGCTGGGGTAATGTCAACAAACAATCCACTGGCCCAGACAGGTGGTCCAGGCCGGCAGGGCTGCCCTGAGCCTGCGCTGGGGACAGGACTCACCGTCGCGGCCGCTGGGCCAGACACCCCCGAGGGCCACGCTGTAGCCAGACCTCCCTCGGTGGAGCTGCGCTGGCGCCTGTGGCACTCAGGTGGCGGGGGAAGGTGGGAGCTCTCCCAACATGCCCAGAGGAAACCCAGGCCCAAGAACTGGGCTGAGGGTGGGGTCTCCAAGGTCCCAGCAGGCCTCCGACGCCCATCCACACAGGGGGGTGCCCAGCTCCTTCCCCCAGTATGAGATGCTAGCCTAGAACAGTCCACGCCTGGCCAGGGTCTCCAGCACTTGGCTGGACTGGGATTTAAGTCAGCGGGGCCTGAGGCTGTACTGGGGCCAGTGGGGGCGGGGGTGGAGGGGAGCACAGCCCCTCCCCACCAAGACGGCGGCCCGCAGCCTTACCTGGAAGTCATACAACGCCACGATGTTTTCATGTTTCAATTCCTAGGACAGAAACCCAGGTTTCCCGTGAGTGAAGCGGACTCGCCCATCACCCGCTCCCCTCCTGCTGCTGAGGCCACAGCTCACCTTGAGGATCTTGATCTCCTTCCCCAGGAGAGTCTGGGACTTGGCCAGGTTCTTCTTGTTAATGCACTTGACAGCGACCTCCAGGTCGTGTTTCTGAAAACCAAGCGCGGGTGTCCCTCAGGGGCGGGGAACCCGGGAACCCCTTGAAGGTCTTGCCCAAGCCAAGCGCCCAGCAGGTCCCTGGAGATGAGGGGGTCAGGAGTGCATGTGAGGGGGACGTGGGGTCCCGGGGCTGTGGGGTGAGACGAGGGGCGCCCGGCTGTGTTCATGTGGGGTCCCCGGCAGGATGAGGGGGGGTCCCTGGAGCGGGGGATGGGGAGAGGGACCCCGGGGCGGGGGGGCCGCCCTCGCCGGCGCTCTGTCCGGGCCGGCCGGCCCCTCACCTCGCGGTGGCGCCCCTTGAAGACCACGGCGAAGGCGCCATGCCCAATCAGGTCCTTGCGCGAGAACTCGAACTTGCCCACGGTCTCCAGGCCGCCGCGGCCGGACTCCATGGCGCGGGCCGGGCCAGGCAGGCCGGGGCTCAGGCGACGGCACGGGCCGGGGGCGGTGGGCAGGGGGCGCGCCCCATCGGGCAGCCCGGGCAGCGGACGCGATCCGACTCCAACCCAGTCTTGACCTGGGCTCCGACCCTAGCTCAGGATCCGGCTCGGGCTCCGGCCGGGAGACAAAAGAGCCGCGGCCGCCGGGCCCGGGAGCCTGAGACGCCGGCGCAAGCGCACAGAGTGCCGGGCGGGGCGGAGCCTGGGGGAGAGCCTGGCTGGGGCGGGGCGGGGCCTGACGGGCGGCCGCGCTCAGTGGGTGGTGGCGCTGGCGGCGGGGCGGGGCCTATTGGGGCGGGACCAGATGGTTGGGGCGGGGTCAGTAGCAGGCCCGCCTCCTTGGGAATGACAGGGGAGCTGCAAGCCTGGGCATGAGCCAACGGTCGCCCTCCAACCAGTTCTCCTGCTGCAGCCTTACACTACGTCCCTTGTCTGCTCATCTGGGGGGCTCACATGTGCCATAGCCTTCATTAATACCTGGGACGTGGCCTGTGTACACCAGGGCTGGAGATTGGATAGAATAAATTCTTAGAAAGGGAACGACTGCGTTGCAGGTTATGCATTTAAAATTGCGCTCGATAGTTACAAACTGTCCCCCAAACTGCACCAAACCTAAGAAATAGCCCACAAGTCCTAAGGTTAGGTAAATCCTGGTGCATCCTGTCTATGGAATAATACACAGCAGATTCTTAGAGGCAGAGATGCTCAGATAAAAAGTGCTCCAAGGGACTTACCTGATGGCACGGTGGTTGAGAATCCGCCTGCCAATGCAGGGGACACGGGTTCAAACCCTGGTGCGGGAAGATCCCATATGCATCAGAGCAACTAAGCCCATGCACCACAACTACTGAGCCTGCACTCTAGAGCCTGCGAGCCACAACTACTGAAGCCCATGCGCCTAGAGCCCGTGCTCTGCAACAAGAGAAGCCACCGCAATGAGAAACCTGCGCACCGCAACGAAGAGTAGCCCCCGCTCGCCGCAACTAGAGAAAGCCCGCGTGCAGCAACGAAGACCCAACGCAGCCAAAAATAAATTAATTAATAAATTAATTTAAAAATAAAGAAAGTCACTGGAGAGAGATGTGTGTATACCATACCTACATGTATATATAGTTTTATGTATGTATATACATATATAGGGTTCCTAGTACTATACTATGTGTGCTTATAATTACATTGGGTAATTATAACAGCTAACCCATTGCTTACCATGTACCAGGCAGTAGTCTTTCCATATATTAATTTATTCCTCACAATGATCACATGAAGTAATTGCTATTATATCCCTATTTTACAGATGAGAAAATTGAGGCCCAGAGAAGTTAGGTAAAAAAGTCACACAGCCAGGGCTTCCCTGGTGGCGCAGTGGTTGAGAGTCCGCCTGCCGATGCAGGGGACACGGGTTTGTGCCCCGGTCCGGGAAGATACCACGTGCCGCGGAGCGGCTGAGCCCGTGAGCCATGGCTGCTGAGCCTGCGCGTCCGGAGCCTGTGCTCCGCAACGGGAGAGGCCACAACAGTGAGAGGCCCGAATACTGCAAAAAAAAAAAAAAAAAGTCACACAGCCAGCAAGAGAAAGAGCCTGGATTCTCACAGGAGAAACTGTTAACAGTTTGGGAAGAGCCGGTCCTTTCCATTTACACCTTGAGTGTGAATTCTCCTATAACCTTCCATTATTGCTTTTGCAAATGCAGAATTCTAAACAATCCTCCCTGCCACTCCCAGTCTTCAGTAATAGCCCTGGATGGTTGCACCAGCCTGTGGGAACACACTTCTGAGGGGTAGGCTCCCAGGCACTCCATACCCCGGACTGGGGCCAGAGACCATCGGAGCTGGAAGGGACAATGGGTCTCCTGGGCCACCACCTTTGTTTTCCAAGGACGAGGTCTTGCAGTGCCATGTGGTCAGTCGTAGCCTGCCCTCAGGTCCTCATCCATCCCCTCACTTCATCCAATGACTGTTTTCTCAACACCCAGAGTTGCCACAGAAGAAAAACACAGAATCCCCTCCTTCAAGACCTTCCTGTCTAGTGGTTGGGGTCGGGGGACAAGACAGGCAATGGTTGCACAGGCAGTTGTAAAGTTTCAACCCAGGAAAGTGCAGAGAACAGGCAGGGCAGACGGTGGGATTCCCCTGGAGACATGGCTCCAGGATCCCAGTGCACCCTGGGAAGGAGATATTCGCCCTAAACTTGAGAAGTGACAGGGCAGAAGTTAGGAAGGGGGCAGATGAGATGGGATGTGCGTTTGGAAAAGGTTTCTGGGCCCTCGACAGTGGAAGAGAAGGGAGGCGAGGTATGCTCGATTCCCCTGACCTTGGGCCCAGCTCAGTTGCTCAGGCTGCCCCCCTCCTCTGTGTGACACGCCCACCACGGTCTGTGCCAAGTCCATCCTCGTGTTTCAGATTCCATATCTGCGAATTTGCCTATTCGCTAAGTGTTTCATGTAACCCCCAAATCAGTACTCACATGCTTCTGTGGGCAAAATGTTTGTTGCCCCAGGCCCCCTTTCCCAACTGAGAGTGAGGGAGGCCACTGCCTTGCGTCAGCAGCTCTCGTACTGCAAACAAGGGTCCTGTGGGCTATTTAGGGCCACATCTGTCGCAGTCCGAACGCGGGCCGGAAAAGAATTTCCAGACACAAGGCAGAACGTAAAAAAGATAGAATTTATTGGAGGGAAGGGTCGCTGTCAGAGCAGCGGGCCGATTTCCTAGCAGTCTGGGAGAGTCGAGCCTGAGCATGTACTATTGATCAGTTTTTATAGCCAGGAAACAAAGGAATGGTCCGAGGTGAAAATTTCGTTTACTGATTGGTCGAGGCACATATACCTTCCTTCTGTAGGGTGGCAGTGGGACAGGGCAGATGCCTTTGCTTATTTGGGACAGGTCCCCGTTGCTCAGATGAGTGTCGCCCAGGTGGGCTCAGGAATTTTGTAACCATGGCAACAGGGTGGGGAGGGTGAGTAAGAGTCCGGTAGGGGCTGTGACGCTGACACCTTTTCAAGCAGGGTCGTCCTTTGTCCTTGAAGCACCATTGTCCTTGGAGCCCCACAACATTCTTCGGATCTTTGTGCTTTTTGTTGGTGATTTCGCTGTTCAAAAGTAAACAATGTTAATGAATCAACAGCATATATCAAATAAGATGTCTTTTAAACAGAAACACACATAAACACACAGTGATGTATTGAACGGTTGACAAAAATGTTGTGACCAGAGGGTGGCAGGAACCTAAACGTATTTTTCCCAGAGCAGGTTCAGAATCCGCTAATCCTGTGCTGGTGGCAACGTTATAGAGCATGAGTACTGTCGACTGAAAAAAATGCACAACCTAAAAGTTCAGAGTTATGCTTTATTCGATGGACAAAACTAAGGACTTAAGCCTGGGACACAGCATCTCAGAAACTCTGAGAGACTGTCCCAAATGGGCAAGGGGCGGGGAGCCAGGATCTATAGGAGTTTTTGAAACTAAGACCAGGTAGTCGGAACATTGAAAGATTACTGTTAAGTAAGGAAAACCAGACATCACAAGTTAAGGAATTTAGCACTTCGCTATGTATGGGAAGATGCAAAGTCTGGGCTCATTGAAATCATTCCTCTGATATGCACCTCAGCTCTCCGGGGCCAGTATCCTCTGCTTCTCATCCTGAGCCTTCTCAGAGTGCACCGTTGGGGCAGCTGTAATGTGATGGCTTGATAGCTGCAACATCCTTTGTTTACTGATATGGCAGCAAACATTCTTCATTCACAGTACCATGAACAGTGAGAATCGACTGCCCTTGCTATGTGCAGGCAACTCTCTTTACAGGAAGTAACTCTTATGCCCACATCAACCCTGGGAGGTAGATTCCTATGGTTACTCCCATTTAATGGGGGAAGAAACTGATGGCCAGAGAAGTGACTTGCCCAAGGTCGTACAACTAAGAAGTGATACCTCTCCACTGCAAGCGCTTGCACCTCGTCCTCCTAGGTCTCCAAACCTCCCGAGGCAAGGACAAAATCCTGTTCATCTCTGACCTCTGGTGCTCAGCCCAATGCCCAGCAATCAGTCAAGAAACCTGTGGAAAGGATGTTGAGTGATGAAAACCACCCCTGACTTGCTTACTCAACAAGCCAAAACACACCACCTTCCATGGAGGTGCCACCTGCCCACCCAGACAGGCCTCCAGCACTGCTGCTACCTTCTATGAAAGGAATGGTGAATGGGTGTCGTTTCAAAGGGACTGGTGGCAGCTACCTAGAGTCTTAAGCTTAAGAGTTCTGAGAATTCTGTGATGGATTAGTAATGTCTGTCACAGGTGCTGGGAGTGGGGGTTGGTTTGTGTGCCTTAAAAGAGACAGGGGGCTGCATTCCTGTGTCATTGAGACTTCACCAGTGTAATTTTCAAGAAGTTAAAAACTAACTCTCAGGGACTTCCCTGGCAGTCCAGTGGTTAAGACTCTGTGCTTCCAATCTAGCGGGTGTGGGTTCGATCTCTGGTCAGGGAACTTAGATCCCACATGCCACATGGTGTGGCCGAAACATTAAAAAACAAATAAACTCTCATATGAATATGGAGCAAAAAGTGGGCTAGAGGTTTAGCTAACTCAGTAACGAGGGAACCAGCCAGACAGTAAAGATGGTTCCTGGGTAGAATTTGAGGGATTGTTTATTTATAGGGATTTGAAAAGAAGAATGTTAGAGTAAGATTGGTCAGTCCGATTCAAAACTGGTTATTGTTTCCCAGGGCAAAACATTAACCTTTGATTATCTTTTCTATCTCAGAGAAATCATCTGTCTTCTGTTTGACAAAAACCTACAAGTTAACATGGAGATAATGTCACAGACTCAGAGCTTTGAATCAACTGTCAACAGAAAGGTAAACACGGGTGAAGAACCCCTGCATCAAGGATCAGCAAACTTATGGTCTAAGGGGGCAAATCCAGCCCTCCTCTTGGTTTTTTCCTTTTTTGTTGTTTTTCATTTGTTTGTGTTTTTGGCCGTGCCCTGCATCACGTGAGATCTTAGTTCCCCAAGCAGCAATTGAACCTGTGCCCCCTGCAGTGGAAGTGCAGAGTCTTAACCACTAAACCACCAGGGAAGTCCCAGTTTTTTCTTTCTTTTTATTTTTTTAATATTTTTAGAATGGACGTAACTTAAAAATTGCCATCTTAACCATTTTTAAGTGTGCACCTCAGGGTGTACAATACATTCATATTGTTGTGCAACTGTCATCACCATCATCTCCAGAAATTTTTCATTTTCCCAAACTGAAACTCTGCCCCCATTAAACACTAATGCCATCCGCCTGCAAAAGCTCTAACACCCTACTCCCTCCTCCCTCCACCCCGGCACCCACCCTCCTACTTTCTATCTCTATGGATCTGACAGCTCTAGGTACCTCATAAAAGTGGAATCCTACAGTATTTGTCTTTTAATGTCTGCCTTATTTCCCTTAGCATGTAATGTCCCAAAGTTTCATCCGTGTTGTAGCATGTGTCAGAATTTCCTTCCTTTTTAAGGCTGAATAATATTCCATGGTACGTATATGCCACATTTCGTTTAGCCATTCATCCATTGAAGGACACTTGCTTCCACATTTTAGCTATTGTGGATAACGCGGCTATGAACGTGAGTGTACAAGTATCTCTTCCAGATCCTGTTTTCAATTCTTTTGGATATATATCCTGAAGTGGAATTGCTAGTAATTCTATTTTTAATCTTTTGAGGAACCACCATACTGTTTTCCACAGAAGCTGCACCATTTTACATTCCCATCAGCAATCACAATTGCTCCACATCTTCACCAACACTTGTTATTTTCTGCTTTATAAAAATAGCTATCCTAGTGGTTGTGGTTTCTCACTGTGGTTTTGATTTGCATTTCCTTAATGATTAGTGATGTTGAGCATCTTATTTGCTTACTGGCCATTTGTTTAACTTCTTTGGAGAAATGTCTACTCAAGTTCTTTGACCAGTTTCTAATTGGATTGTTTGAGTTGCAGTTCTTTATATATTCTAGAGATTAACTGCCTACTTTGGTAAATACAGTTTATTGAAACCCAGCCATGCCCACTTGCTTATTTAGTGTCTCTGGCTGCTTTCAAGCTGCACCTGGAAAGCTAAGTAGCTGCAAAGGTGGCCGTGCGACCTGCAAAGCCATATTTGCCACGTGGCCCTTTACAGAATGAGTTTGGTGACCCTGGCCTTGAACTATTAAGTAGTCCTTCAATGATGCTCCAGATGGACCACGAAAGAGCATGTTGAAGTCATTACTTACAAGTTCTGGATCATTCTTCCAAACAGTGGTAGTGGATACCAGCAAAACCTAGGAGTTCCTGTCTCTATCACCCCAGTCCACGATGCCCGTGTCCCCTGCATTAGCAGGCGGGTTCTTAACCACTGCGCCGCCACCAGGGAAGTCCCAAATGCTCAAATGCCACTGAAACATCACTGGTGTGTGTGTGGGGAGGACACCCCTCCCCAACCATGGGCTGGACGGCAGAGTGGGTGAGTGTCTGGGTGGGTCCCCTCTAGGCAGAGCGGGGAAGCCTGGGTAGCCACCTGGCTTCTCTGTGCCTAGGTCATCTCACCTGGAATAATAAAGAACATTAACTAGAACAATGGAGACAGCCAGCTTCCTCAAGAGGAGTTCCCTAGAACACCACCACCTCCCAGTCCCATCCCAAGCTAATTCCAGCCATCAAGGAGCACTACTGAAGGGGGAGCTGCTGGTCTCATCCCATAAAGGTCTTTATGCTCCCCTAGGGGACTTTAGGCAAAGCTTCTCAGGGCCTAGGCTCATCTCAAGGACTTCAGACTTTGGGGCAGGATGGGAATTTGCTTCCTGGCTCCCAGAAGGGTGGGGTGGTGACAGCCAGGGTTCTAAGGGGGCTCCGGGCTGGTTTCAGTCCCGGGTAACCTCAGGGCGCCACCCACCTTGGCTTTGCAGCCAGCCCCTTACAGCCTCAAGCCCAGAGGGAAGGTCTGTACCTGTGTCCCCCAGGCAGTGATGGCTGAACATAAACTTACAACCCAGCAATCCCACTCCTAGGTGTTTACTCAGGGTGCCTGATGGGAAATGTTCATTACAGCTTTATTCAGAGTAGCCCAGAGCTGGAAACAAATGTCCATCAACAGGCGAAAGCAGAAACAAATGGGGATATCCGCACTCTGGAGTGGAGAGAATAAGCAACTGGTTCACGCAGCAGCGCGGCGAACCTTGACTCCCTGTACGTAAAGCGAGAGAAGCCAGACCCAGAAGACCTCTGCTGTAGGGATTCATCCTGTGTGGGATTCACCGATCGGAAACGGATCACTTGTTGGTTGCCTGGGCTGGGGGGATGGACTGGGAAAGGACAGGCAGGGCTTTGGAGGGGACAAGTGTTCAATGGTGATTGGGGTTGTGGTGGATACATGGCTTTATACAGTTGTCAAAACCCTTGAAATGCGAGTATTTAACTGTGTGTGAATTACACCTCAGTAAAGTTAATTTTATTTTTTAATAAATTTATTTATTTTTGGCTGCATTGGGTCTTCATTGCTGCTCACGGGCTTTCTCTTTGTGGCGAGCGGGGGCTACTCTTTGTTACGGTGCGTGGGCCTCTCATTTCCGTGGCTTCTCTTGTTGCGGAGCACAGGCTCTAGGTGTGCGGGCTCAGTAGTTGTGGCTCGTGGGCTCTAGAGCGCACACTCAGTAGTTGTGGCGCCCGGGCTTAGTTGCTCCTCGGCATGTGGGGTCTTCCCGGACCAGGGCTCGAACCCGTGTCCCCTGCATTAGCAGGCGGGTTCTTAACCACTGCGCCGCCACCAGGGAAGTCCCAAAGTTAATTTTAAAAAGAAACACTGGGAATTCCCTGGCGGTCCAGTCGTTAGGACTCCACGCTTCCACTGTAGGGGGTACAGGGTTGATCCTTGGTCAGGGAACTAAGATCCCTCAAGCCGCATGGTGTGGCCAAAATAAAATAAAATAAAAAGAAGCACTGACACAGTCTACAGTGTGGATGAACCTGGGAAACATCCTGCGAGTGAAAGAAGCCAGATGCAAAAGGCCACATCTTGTACAAAGACATTTACATGAAACATCCAGACAGGCAAATCCGTAGAGACAGAAAGAGGATTGGCGGCTGGCAGGGGCTGTGGGGAGGGGGAGGGGCAGGGACTGCTGAAGGGTAGGGGGCTTCCCACTGTGCCCGCGGCATGGGGGGCTGTGCTGGGGGCTGGCGGCTCTGGTCCTAGGAGGCACATCGGGTGCCAATCGCCTCCTCGAAGGCCTGGAGGGAGAAGGAGTGGGTGACTGCTGGGTCCAGGGCGTCGAGCTTTAACCCGCATTTTCCCAGCCCCAGAGGGCTCCGGCCCTTGAAGTCAGCAGCTCCTGAGTGAGAACCAAGCTGGCTCAGAGCCTGTGGCTGCTGGTTCTTGCAAAAGTCAAAGCAGAGTGCCCCAAGGCCTTTGCATCCTGCTAGGTGGGTGACTCAGCCTGACACGGACCACTGCCACCCTGCTGATGGACAACGGAGAGTTAGGAGCCCTGCGGAACGTCTGAAAGCCATGCAGAAGCCCCTGCCAGGCCCAGAGCAAGGATCGGGACTTGGGGCTTCCTCTAAGTGCCTGGGCCGCAACTCCAGAATCCTGAGGCGTCCTGCCCTCCCCCTAGTCCCCGTTTCAAGGGGCAGCCAGGTGTGTCTTCCGATGATGTGCATGCTCCCTCCGCCTCCCTGCCTCAACCTGCTGTCCTCCTCCACCAGTTCCAGCCCTGGCCACGCCCTGGCCTAAGCCACTGTCTGAGGCCTGGGGCCTCCTTGTGGGCACAGTGCTCAGGGCATCGCTGTCTTCTTCCCTCTTCACCTCCCTCATCCAGCCCCACTCGATCTACCCCAGCTGCAGGGCCTTTGCACTGACCAGCTGGTCAAAATGCTGGCTCCAGCCAGCCGTCTCCTCCAGAGGCTTTCCCTGACTGCCATTCCATCCAAAGAAGACGGGCCCCTCTGGCACTCTAACAAAGGGGACTGTGGGCCAAGGAGCACAGTCAAGGGTCTGGGAAGTGGGATGGGAGACACACTTACGTCCTTATTTCGCTCACCTCCAGCAGAAATTTACCATTGACCCTCTCCAAAGTGCTTACGATTAAAAAAATTAAGAACTCCTCAGCCCCACTTCATGTGCTTCCTCACTTATCCTTATGGGGACTCTCCTTGTGGATTTCTTATTTTCTAGCTCCCTCCACTTATGTGGAAGCTCCAAAACAGGGAGCTTGAATTTGTTACTAGCCTAAAAGGGACTTAGGAAACCTTCAATTCGTTATTGTTATTTATTTATTTGTTTGTTTGTTTGTTTATTTATTTATTTATTTGGTTGTGCTGGGTCTTAGTTGTGGCTCGAGGGCTCCTTAGGTGTGGCCTGAGAACTCTTAGTTGTGGCATGTGGGATCTAGTTCCCCGACCAGGGATGGAACCCCGGCCCCCTGCATTGGGAGCGCAGAGTCTTAACCACTGTGCCACCAGGGAAGTCCCCAGTTCGCTATTGTTGAAAGAATGAATGAATGAGCAAATGAACGGGGCACAGGGGCTGGGCATGTCCAGGCACCCACCTTCCCATCCATCCCCGGAGACCCTCCTCTCTTCTCTGCTGTGGGAGCCTGTTCTTGTTTCTTTCCCTGCTGAGCCCCCTCCAGGCCTGTGCCCTGGACACACAGACACTCACACACGCGCACACACACACACACACACACACACACACACACACACACTCACAGAGGACAACCTATGATGTTTACAGCAGTAGCCTTTTTTTTTTGACTTTTAAAATTTAATTTAATTTAATTTTTTTATATAGCAGGTTCTTATTAGTTATCCATTTTATACATATTAGTGTATATATGTCAATCCCCATCTCCCAATTCATCACACCACTCCCCCACCCCCTGTCCCTTTCCCCGCTTGGTGTACATACGTTTGTTCTCTACATCTGTGCCTGTATTTCTGCCCTGCAAACCGGTTCATCTGTACCATTTTTCTAGGTTCCACATACATGTGTTAATATACGATATTTATTTTTCTCTTTCTGACTTAACTTCACTCTGTATGACAGTCTCTAGATCCATCCACGTGTCTACAAATGATCCAATTTCGTTCGTTTTTATGACAGCAGTAGTCTCTATAAAAGGAAAAATACTGAACCCTCCCCTCCCCAAACCTCTGTTATAATCTGTTTCTGCAATGGAATATTACCCCGTAGTGGAAAAAAAAGAACAGATGCCAACTTCCTGCAACAATAAAGATGCTTTTTACCGACATAATACGCAGTGGGAAAAAATGAGTCCCAGAAGATGCCCTATAAAGCAACACCCTTTCAAGAAAGCTGAAAACAGTTAAAACGCAACGTGACATTGTGATGCGTGTGTGATGAATATCTGGGTGATTGTTCATTTGTGTTAAAACTGCCATCCAACAAAGGTGAGGTGACAGCACAAAACTCAGTGGTCCCTGGGAGGGATGAGAAGGTGTGGGGCACAGAGGCGGGTGGAAGTTATCATTGATACTCTAGTTCTTGGGTGGGTTGGTGAACTCACACATTTTTATGTTATAAATAAGTCCAGGCTGATGGTGACAGCGCACCACGAACTAAGATTCATCCAAGCAGTGCATCTGGGGTTTGTTTAGAATTTTTTTGAAAAGGACAATTCATATAACCATGTGGAGACATATTTTTATTTTCTCATCTCCCAGCCGCCTCAAATGAGGGAAAGTCTAAGGTCCCATATCGCAAGTGGTCCATTTATATGAAACACCTGGAAGAGGTGAACCCACAGATACGGTTGCCAGGGCCTGGAGGAGGAGGGGAGAGGGAGGGGCTGCTAACGGGGATGGGGTTTATTTCAGGGTGATGCAATGTTTTGGAACTAGACAGAGGTGGTGGTTGCACAGCATTGTCGACGTGCTAAACGTCCCTAAATTGTTCACTTTAAGGTGAGTAATTTTGTGTTGTGTGAAGCGCACCTCAGAAAAAAATATCTCAAGGGGCTCTGGCTTGGGGACAGGCGCTCCGAGGGCTCTGTGGATGGACGGGTAACACAGCGCCCCGTCCAGGCCTTGCTCTTAGGGCTCCTCGGAAACCCACCCACTGCCTCCTCACCCCAGGCCCCAGGTGGGCACCATTACCTTCCCCATTCTACAGGTGAGGAAGGAGGGGCCTGGCTGGCCCAGAGCCACACCCTGGCAGGTCCTGGAGCCCGGATGTGGACCAGCATCCACGCAGGTCAGCCTGTCTTGCGGGCAGTGCACAGCGGTGGCGCCTTCGACGTCCACCCACCCCAGGCTGCTTTTCCAATCTCTGCACCTGGAGGCAAGCGGGTCAGGCAGTACACCATTTTTCTTTTTTTTAAAACGTTTTTATTGCATTTGTCTTCATATAAAAAAAAATTTACGCTATAATTCACATACCATAACATTCAGGATGTTAAAGTGTACACTCCAGCAGTTTTTTAGCATGTTGAGTTGTGCGACCATCACCACTATCTCATCTCAGAACATTTTCAGCACCCCAGAAAGAAACCCCACACCTACTGAGAGGCTCCCTCTCCCCGAGCCCCGGGTGACCACTAGTCTGTCTCTCTGGATTTGCCTGTTCTGAACATTTTGTATGAATGGAATCATACGATGTGTGGCCTTTTGTGTCTGACTTATTTCTATTTTTTTTCTTCTTTTATTTATTATTTATTTATTTACTTTTTGGTTTGTTTGTGTCTGGCTTCTTTCACTCAGCATGTTGTTTTCAAGGTTCATCTACGCTGTAACATGTATTGGTGCTTCATTTCTTTTTCTTGCTGAATGATACTCCATTGCTCAGATAGACCACATTTTAAATTTTTTATTTATTTATTAAAAAATATATATATTGATTGATTTTTGTGTGTTGGGTCCTCATTGCTGGGCGCGGGCTTTCTCTAGTTGCAGCAAGCGGGGGCTACTCTTCGTTGCGGTGTGCAGCCTTCTCATTGCGGTGGCTTCTCTTGCTGTGGAGGACGGGCTCTAGGTATGCGGGCTTCAGTAGTTGTGGCACGTGGGCTCAGTAGTTGTGGCTCGCGGGCTCTAGTGCACAGGCTCACTAGTTGTGGCGCACAGGCTTAGCTGCTCCGCAGCATGTGGGATCTTCCTGGACCAGGGCTTGAACCCATGTCCCCTGCATTGGCAGGCGGATTCTTAACCACTGCACCACCAGGGAAGTCCCTAGA